TTGGGGGCTCGCTGGTTCCATTGTTGCCTCTATTTCTGGGGCTATGGCAAATTTAGCCACAAAATCTGCAAGGGCTTGTCTATTGATGACATGTCTGGGTTGGAAAAGTAGGTGGAACTTACTGAGCTCAATTGCCCATTTTAGCAAGCGGCTGGAAGCATCCGTTCTCTGCAGCACCTACTTTAATAGAAAGTTAGTGAGAACCTCAATTGAGTGGGCCTGGAAGTACGGTCTCAGTTTTCTTGACGCCACGATGAGGACGAGTTCCAGTTTTTCCATGTCCGAGTAACGGGTTTCTGATGGTAGTGGTGCTTTGCTAACATAGTATATCGGCAATTGGTGCTCATTTTCTTCTCTGACTATGATTACGCTGGCCTCCTCGTCCGAGACTGCCAAGTATTGTAGTAGTGATTCCTGTGGTTTAGGTTTGGATAACAGAGGTGCCTCTCCAAAGTGCTTTTTCAGCGCTTGGAAGGCTTCCTCGTACTCATCGTTCTATTGGAACTTCTTTCCTTGCTTCAACACTTTGAAGAAGTGTAGGCTCTTATCAGTAGCTCTGAAGATGAAGCGACTTAGCGTGGCTATCCGAACATTAAAGCTCTGGACGTCCTTCAACTTCTGAGGTGACCTCATTTCCAGTAAGGCCCTAATTTTTACCGAATTTGCTTTGATTCTCCTTTGGTTCACAATGTATCCCAAAAACTGACCCTAAGCTATGCCGAAGGTGCATTTGAGGGGGTTCAACTTTCTGTATTTTCTAAGAATCTAAAAGGTCTGGTCGAGGTGAATTATGTGTTCATTCGCCTAGAGGCTTTTGACTAGCATGTCGTCCATGTAGACTTCTATAGTTTTGTCAATGAGTTCGGCAAACATCATGTTGACCAGCCTCTGATATGTAGCTCCGACATTTTTCAATCTGAAGGGCAAGACTTTGTAGGAGTACAGTTATCCGTCTGTGATGAACGATGTGGCCTCCTCATCAGGTCGAAACATGGGTATCTGGTTGTACCCTGAGTACGCATTCATGAAGCTCAAGTGTTCATATGCAGCGGTGGAATCCACAAGCTGGTCTATCATGGGCAGTGGGAAGCTATCTTTAGGGCATGCTTTGTTTAAGTTCGTGAAGTCTACGCACACCCTCCATTTCTCGCTAGGCTTCTTCACAAGGACCAGGTTGGATATCCACTTCCGATATATGACTTCTCTGATGAAGCTGCTGCGGCTAAGCTTATTGACTTCGTCTTTCAGTACCTCGTACCGCTCCGGGTTGAGGGCTCATTTTTTTTGTCAATATGGGGACACAGGAGGAGTTGATGTTAAGGCGGTGGCAATTGATCCTTGGGTCTATTCCCACCATGTCTTCGTGCTTCCAAGCGAAGACATCCATATTCCTTTTCAGGAAGCTTATCATTTGTTCTTTCGCTTCGGGAGACAGCGTCTTTCCTATCCGTAAGATCTGGCTGGAATCCTCTGGGTTGACGGAGAAAGTTTCAAGTTCTTCCATTGGGGTCGCATTCGGTTCTGAGCCAGTTATTCGGGGGTCTAACTCATCAAGAGGGTGCCCTTCTTCAAGGGTCTTTTCCATGTCGACATCTTCCTCCTGTTCGGAGGTATGCCCTGTTTCAGGTATGTCGAGCATTTCTACGTCTGGCTTGGATTCCTTCGCAACCTCCGTTATGATCACGTTAACAGTACGGGGCTCTGATTTTCGCAGAGAGTTTAGGTAACATACTCTGGAGCCCATTTGGTCGCCTCGGATCGTAGCAATTCCATGCTTAGTTGGGAACTTCATACACAAGTAATAGATGGAGGTGACAGCCTAAAGATCTTTCAAGGTGGGTCTGCCCAATACTCCGTGGTAGGCTGATCTGTGGTCTACTACTAAGAATTCTATGAAATGTTGGGCCACTAGGGGAGTTGAACCCATCTTGATGAGCAGAGTAATTCGTCCTCATGGGACGATCCTGTCTCCAGTAAATCCAAATAGTAGGTCGGTCATGGGGATTAACCCATGTTCCATCTGCATTTAGTCAAAGATAGAGCCGAACAGTATATTCACCGAGCTACCATTGTCGATAAGCATGCGTTTGAGTCCGTTTCTTGCTACTACGGCTCTTACTACCAATGCGTTACAATGGGGGTGATGAACTCCTTTTGCATCTTCTTGGGAGAAGGTAATCGGGGCCATCTTGTTGGCTTCTTGGGACTGGTTGACAATGTACGTGAGCATCGCTAGATCCTTTGCTTCCCTTGTTTAGTTCCTTTGGGCATTCCTAGTGTTGCCACCCATGTAAGGTCCCCCAATGATTATGTCAATATTCCTAATGATTTGGCCTCTAGAAAATGGGCCTGATCTCTCTGTCCGGACTCTCCTCTGTCCCTCGATCCTCTTCTCCGGGATGACTGATCTCTATGCCTCCTCTCACCCCTGTTCATTGAGGGGGATCTATGGGGATGTTTGTCCCTCCTGGAGGGATGTGGGTTATTTCGATCTGAGTGTCAAGGAGCGTCTCTGCATTCGCTGGTGTCATGTCCATAGAGTTGGTTGAAGGTGCAGAACCTTGTCCTTTCTAAGGGCCTGCTTGACCGCTTCTTTTTCTTCTTTCGATTACTGTCAGTACCCTATATGGTCCTGCCTCGACAGGGGCATTCTCGTATGCCAATACCGACACTGCATTTAGTGTGGTAGAAGCTAGTGCCTGTCTGGACGTGGGAGCTAACGTATCCTCTGCCTGGGTCCAGTGCTGGGTGACAAGGTACGCTGAGGTCCTCGACCTACATGCCTCTGAGGCGAAGGGAGTCCCCGCATGGCACGGTTTCGATGATCAATCATCTCTTCACTGACGATTTCAACTCTCATTATTTCCACTAGGTCGCCATAAGTGGTAAGAATCTTGCTATGTACATCCCTCCAGAATAAAGTGTTCATGTTGAGGCCGTCTTTCAAGGTTGAAAGGGCTTCTCTGTCAGTAACCTTTTCGCAGCAGGTGATCTCGTCCGTAAACCTGGCGAGGTAGCTTTTCAGCGTTTTTCTAGGGGCTTGTCTCATATCTTGAAGGCGTTGCACTGGGGCCTCTCATTCTCTACGTGAGAGATACTGGTTCAAGAATACATTTTTCAGCTCTGGCAAACTCCTAATGCTCAGGGGAGGTAGCCTATTGTACCATACTTCAGTGGCTCCGACCAGGGTTAGGTAGAAAGCTCTGTATTTCAAAGCAGGCGAGGCTCCCTTGAGACTCATCTGTGTCATGTACTTCATGAGGTGCTTCTCTGGGTCCCATTTTCCTTCATATTTAGGGATTTTAGGGGGCATGAAATTCGCAGGCATTGGGGAGCTTCGAATTTTCCTTGAAAAAGGGAGGTTATCATCATCATCATCAATCTCGTAAGATCGACACGGCCCTTCGGAGTCCTCATCATCTTGCATGTTCTGGGGAGGTGGAGGTGGTCTTCTTCGGCTATCCCCTATCAACTAAGTTCCTTCTCTCCTTCCTATTTCTAGGTAGAAGGGGTGCTTGTTCTTGTTCTTCTCCTTGCCAAACTGATCTTTCCACTAAGTGAATCCTATTACTAGGGTCCTACCCTATCTGCTTAAAGACACTGACTGACCTTTATGCTTTATATTCTGGTGGGAAGTTGTCCTCCAATTCCGGTTCTGCTGCCTAGCTCCCTTGTACATAGGATATGACTTTCGTACCCACTTCTCTCTCGAGGGGGGCTCTCTGTGTTGGCTCATATGGCCTCAGGGACGAGGCGCAGGGACTTCATGAGCTGGGTAAGATCCTTGGGGCGTTTGGGCGCCTGATGACCTTGGGCTCGCATGAAGAATTCATGCATCGCCATATTCTGAGCTGCAATCTCTCTCATGCCTACAACTATTTGGTCCATTCCTTCAGTGAGCATGATCGCTCTTTCACCTCGACGACGCCGGTGAGGGGGTTTTTGGTGAGTGACATTGCTTCGGGGCACCTCTTCTTCAGAGGCGTCCATCCTGGGGTTTGCGTCCTCATTGCTGGAACTCATCTTACCCACTTTTTCAAGGGTAATAAGAATCTTGATTGTAATTCGACTTTGTTCTTTTTCAAGAACATGCCCTTTTCAGGGTAAGTCAATGGCTTTCCGGTGGAGAATGTAGAACTTTGGATGGGGGAAGTTTCCCACAGACGGCGCCAATCTGTTGACCTCGTGAATTGGACCTCCTACGTGACCAACCGATAGCTACTCCACATGATCCTCCCTGTGCACAATCAACACACTGTCAGATGCACACGGTCAGAACCAGCTGGGATGGAGGCGACCACATACACTCGGACGGTCAAGTTAGTATCTGGTGATCGGAACAGTGCCCGGGTTGTGCAAGAGAGTGGGGAAAAGATTGTATATATTTTCTTATTATGAAGAGTTAAGTTGCAAGAGTTTTATTACCTTTGCCTCTTGTCAAACTTTGGGTATTTATAGGTGAGGAGAACTGTTGGATGTGAGACACGTGTATGCATATGATAGTGTGCAGCGTCTGCTCATAAGCGTCAATCAGCCGCGCGTATAGAGTGGGCGGGTAATAACTTCTCTTGAGTTAAGTTGATATAAAGTTGATATGTCACATCAACTAGACCCTTGGAGACGTTAAATCAATTAAGCCCATGGGGGCAGAGAAGATCTTGACACATATCTCCTTCTGAAAGTGGCGGCGGAAGGAAAACCTTGTAGTGCATTGGGCTTCAGCCAGTTCAATAGGATTGTTTCATTGAGAGGAGTCACTTCGAAAACACTTCGAGTTGGCGGTGGACACCTCGTATGGTGTAGTGGTGAAATTTACGAAGTGGCTCCGATAGGGGCGTAACAACCTCCGTTTGGAATATAATCAAATATATCATGTTAATTATTCAACTGTATCTTGACTATCTTACATAGGGCCCCACTCAAGTAGTATCGCTAACTTAAATATATATAATTTTGTACTAGTCACTCAATTCGATCACAAAGAAACAAAAGGTTTCAAATATTTGAAATTTCCATAAATTTTCACTTCAAAGGATACAATGGTACATGTTACCAATAAACATTTCCTTACATTGACAGACACTAATTTAATGCACATCTACAATTTCATATGCACAGCCAGACTTGAGCCGTCCAGAGGGGATAAGGACATTTAACCTCAAAAGTGAAAACTTCCCGTATCGTCCATCAAAAGCAATGAGCCATAGACTTCAGTTGGCAGTAAATTGGCCATCCGCCAACCAATCTTTGCACGAAAAAGTACCAACACTAGAAATACCGGTTATAATACATTCTGGATTAGGCACCTTGATATAGAAATCATGGTTCTTTCTACTCATGGATGACCTTAATTTAAGGTTTGTACAATATGGGCATGCTCGAATCAATAGATAGTGTATAAATTGAAGAATTACTAGATACTGTTCAATTGTGTAGTAACTTGTGCTGAACATGCTCTGTGTAATTCTTGATGTGTACTAGGATGGAGCTTTACGTGGTCGGACCAACACTGGTACACCACCTCGAAAAGTGGAAGTGAGGCCGGGAGAAAAACTGGGAGTGGGCTGCTGTTGGGCTAATTCGATACGAAATCTCCTCAGCAATGAAAGTGCAACACTTTTGAGCTCCACGAGGGCCATTTCTTTACCTAAACATATCCTAACTCCTGCTTGAAAAACTGGGTACTTAAAAGGGTTTTCTTGAAAGAAAAGGCCGTCGTTCTTCAACCATCTTTCTGGCTTGAATTCCATGCAATCCGGCCCCCAAATCTCTTCCATCCTGCCCATTGCATAGGGATGGTAAGTAACCCTGGTGCCCTTTTTCACAAAAGTACCATCAGGCAAACGATCATCTTCTAAACAGAATTTTGAGTCAAATTGGATTGGTGGGTACAATCTCATGCTCTCGTACACTGCAGCATGCAAATAGTGAAGTTCTTTGAGTTTTTTGTAGCTTGTGAGTTCTTTGTTTTGGCCAATTACTCGATCAGCTTCGACCAGAATACTGGCCTCCACCTCGGGGTGCTTTGCCATCAACCAGAAAAAGCTCGTCAAGGCAGATGCCACTGTGTCACGGCCAGCCAAGAGGAAACTAATCACAATATCCCTAAGGTACTTTTCATCACTAATGGTACCCATAAATCTTGACAGAAGATCTTTCTCCTCGGAAAATCTGAATTTTCGCCTTTGCTTAATGACTTCTTGTGCTAACATATTTATTATCTTGATTGCCCGCTGGAGTTTTCTCTCGCTTCCAACATTAAACAATCTCTTCATCTTCCAAAGAAGTGGCGACGCCGTCATGGCTCTTTCGGCTGACAGTTTTGATGCCAGGTCGAAGGCGGCAGCGAATTTTGTTATAGGGAGTGACAGATCAAGACATTTGGGGTCCAAACCAAATGAAACTCTGCAAATACTATCAAAGGAAAATCTTTTGAAAACATCTTGCATATCCAAGATTTCATCTTCTTTACCTGCGACAGATGCTAAAAGAGGTGACAGCCGTTGATCAATCTCATGATTAACAACTTCAAAAGCGTATTTTTTTACTGACGCACGACCGAGTTCAAGACTGGTAATTTTTCTTTGAAACCTCCACAAGTCACCATCCACGTTGAATATGCCCCTGCCCAAGAAATCAGCCAATATTGCAGAAAAATGTTTGCCTTTTGGGAAATTGTCAAACCTGGTTTTTAGCATATATTCAACGTTGTCGGGATTTGCTGTTATAGTATTACCAAGAACATGAATATGAATTGTGCGAGTGGTAGATTTTTTAAGCAAATGAGTGTACCAATCACAGAAATTATCAAATTGGATTTTCCAACTTGAATTAATGTATGTTTGACAAATCTCACAATTGCAATAAACTCTTTTCTTCATGATGAAAAGGGCTAAAAGGATAATCATGATTAAAAAAAAGAAGATTGGGATCCAAGAGTCATGAAATGACTGGAACCACCAAGAAAATGCATACGCCATGGACAAAAATATTGAAGGATAAAGATAAAAGAATAGATAGAAGAAGATCAGTCCAGTAAGGGGAGGAAGAAATGAATGAAAACTACATTTTTTAATTAAAAGATTGCATGTTCACACATATGAAAAGGAAGTATATATGACATTAGTGCTAAGCACTGGTCATTTTTTAATTATTTTGTTGAAAAATGATTTTTCAAAGGAAAAAAAAATGAATTAATCATGGATAAAATTAAAAAGATAAAATAAAATGTGGGATGAATTTTTTGGGCCAATTTTTTATTATATAAAAAAAAATGGAACTAATTGAAAAGTGCATTTTACACACTTATTCTGACCACAAAACATGAATAATTGTTGTTAAATATGTTGAAATATGGCTTAATTTTATATAAGTTATGTTTTGTAGAACAACATTGACGAATGTGGCGAAATCTAGGAAAAACAAGCGGAAAAGGATCAAATTGGAAGAAAATCAAAGTTTAGGGACCAAAGTGTAAATAGTGAAAAGATGACCCGGAAGCATAAATGAGGATGTCAAAGAGCTAAGGGCCAAATTGTTGAAAACATGAAGTGTTGGAAGAAGAAGAAATGAGAAAAGAGGTCGAGAAACGAGAAAACAAAGTTAGAAGACTAAAATTCAAATTTTGAAAGTTTGCCAATACTTTGCGGTCGCATACCTACTTTTCAGAGTCTTGAAGGCCTATTTTTAATGAACTATGCTATAGCATTTAATTATAGCATAGTACAATTCCGGCACGAAAAACCTGATTTCCTTATATAATTAAAATTCTTATGGAAATCAATCTTGGTACGACTTTCAAAACTCTGGGGCTATCCATAGGTGTTTATTATGCATTCCAACACATTCATAAGGATTTTAGAGCATAGAAGGAGACAAGAAACGTGAAGATTGATTTGAAGACCCGAAGACCCAATTGAAGATTTAAATTGGTGATGTCATTTCTTAAATATTATTGTTAATTTCTTCTTTTTAACATGTCAGACTAGTTTTATTTGTGCTTGGAGAACGATGAACCGTGTAGTATGAATTTTTAATCTTTAGTTTTACTTATTTGACATCAAAAGCACGTTTTCGATATTGAATGATTTATATGAATTTATTTTTTCCACGATTAATGTGAACTGAAATTGTGTAAATATGGTGACTTATTTTATGCATTCTAAAGAAGGGAAATATACTTGATATGGTATAAATCATCATACCGTTCTATAGGAAATAGATATATACTGCTATACCTTTCATGAAATTTTAAATGTTCATAAAAATTTATACATTCTTATATGTTCGCATTTGCCATAGAAATATAGTTGGATCGTATATGAGAATATGTTTAACATTATTCGAGAGAGATTGTTGAATATAATAAGAACATTGATTCTTTGGTATACAATTTTGTTGTCAAAGTATAAAACTAAGGTTAAAAGAATTATTACATAGGAATTCGTGATCTTAGTATGCGTGTCATTCATCAAATACATTAACTTGCATTTAATACAATTTGCCATTTAGTTTAGTTAATTTATTCATAATTGCATACATAATTTACTTTAGTTATAATTTCATCATAATAAATACATCGTATTATTCTTGTTTTGGTTAAAGTCACGATATTTAAAATCGAACTAACTTATTCTCTATGGGACGATACCTGAACTCAAATTCACCAACTAACTTATTCTCTATGGGACGATACCTGAACTCAAATTCACCTTATTACTTGTTAACAAATCGTACACTTGCGGTGGGTTTAAATTGAAATATATTTTTTTCGTGAACACTAATTTTATGAAACGAAAGGGAAAATAATTAATCTATTATTTTGCCCAGCTTCACAGTGAGCTACAGCCAATACTGCAAAGCAGTAAGTCTGCCCTGATGCTCAAGCAAATTCACAGTAATTCATGTGAAATGAGACTCCAGAAAATTTTTTGATAGTACTATTCTATGCATTTTATAACATAAATTTGTTAGCATAATTAAGATCATTTTTGGAGTGAAATCAGTAATTCAGTGCTCACATAAACGGAAGTGTACTAGCATTATCCTGTTTCTTGAAGTGAATTTATAAATAATGAAAATAATGGCCACTGCTACATAAGAAATGTCTCGAGTTCAACTCGTTATCTCACAAATTATGAAAATTGTACACATACATAAAAAAAAAAAATTCATTTTGTAAGAAGGCAAAAATCTGCACTTGTAAGAAAAGATAAAACTTAAAAAAATATATGTGTGTATTTGGATTTCCATATTAGTAAATTAAAATTTTGGATCAAAATTTGAAATTAATTTAGAGCTCAACCTCTGATTCTTTAACAATTAGAAATTATTTTAGGTGTTTGCTAAATTTTAGAATATTGACTATGAAAGAATCTAAACTCTCTTCAATTATTTATAATTAAAATATTAATTTTAACTTCAGTTATCTAAATTAATTCCTTTTCTACTATACGAATCATTATTCATTTTATAATTTTAAAAATATTATATATATATATATATATATATTCATTTGAAAATAACTATAGTGAATATGTAGTTTTAGAAAAATATTGAATAATACTAAATATTGTTATAAAACTAAAATTAAATTTTAAAATAATAATAATTCAATATGATTTCATTTTAGTCCATGTCTAGTTTAGTAATTATATTCGGGAACAACAATAAATTACTTTTGTTTGCAAAATACTAAAATACTGATTTCAAAACAATCATAAAAGTTTGCCATAGACTTAATTGACTATTTCAACAATCGAGTTTTTTCAGAATAGTAAAAGATAATAATCTTATTAACACGGGAATACCAAACCACCAATATTATTCATACATTTCATATGACTCATTACTTCCATAATTATAATCTCGTTATATAATAAAATCCAAACATATTTAACATGCATTTTAAACTTTGACATGACATGCATACACTAATTTATGTCCATGGTCTCTGCTTGAGTTTTTACCCTCTTATTGTGGCCTCTCTCTTTAAGTACACACGTCTAGTCTAATTAACCAATACTTTTGAGCTTTTATGTTTTTGCTGAAGTTATCTTTTCCTAATACAATTATGCATGGTTACGTATTTTGATAAAAATCCTAGAGATATATCTAAATTAAATTAACAAAGCCATTGGTTTAATTTACAAACCAAGATTCGCTTGATGTCTGATATTTATTAAAAAAGGAATTAAGATTGGACTCTCTAACATTTTAATGTGGTTATGGCTCTTTAACCTTCAAAAGTTAAGCTCTGAGTCTCAACCTATTTAAATATGTGAATCTAGGTCTTTATGTAGCGTAAACTGTTAATATGAGTGTTAAAATCGCATGTGACTTGAAGTTAATGGCAAAACTGTAATGTTGACGTCTATATTTAAAGATTATGAAGCACTGACCTAATTTTCCCAATATTTATCAAACTATGGGCGTGCAGTGAAACATATATGCATACAGACACATAAACAAAAGGATTCGTAGCTGATTTTGATTGTAAGATAGGAGCAGTATGGTAACTGATGGTAACCACCAACTTTTCCTGTCTTTAATGTTAACATGTCCTGCGAGACATGTGAATTTGGTTACTGAATATGTTACAAATTATAATTAGATTAAATGGAATGGCTTTTTTGTTGGAACGTCAGGGTTTTTCCTAGTCTATTTTACATTGAACTAGTGTAGCAAATCTATCAGAGATTTCATGTCGGATCCAATATGTATAAAATACTGGCAGTAGATCTAACTAAACCCCACTGAGTATTAACATGTTGGAAATGGACAAATCACTATTTGTAATAAGATTTTAATTTATTGTCAAGATAAGTAATAATAAATAATTCATGTTAGGTTATATATAAAGACAAAAAAAAATAATTTATTATTATATTAATTCGTTGAATGTAAAGTTATTACTTAACTAAATTATAATTCTCAAATGTTTATACATTTTTTTCCATGTACATGTCATAAAAAAGGAAAAAGAAAAAGAAAAAAAGAGGTAGGAGTGCAGGTGGAAAGCAACTTTAATCTTTAAAAGCTCATATTTTAAAGTACTCTTCTAAAGAAATTTAATTAGCAAAAATATAAATATAAATAATTTTATGTGTGGTGCCTATGATTATGAAGTCCTGTACGGTTGCACCACCTCTACGTCCTCAGGGCAGACCCTGGATTCAAGTATTGACATGTAGAAGAATAATGAGAAAACTAGAAGACCCCGCTGAGTTGCAGAACTCTTTGGAGGTGATTAATTATTAGTAAGTAATAACAAGCATGTATAAATTCGAATTGTAATTTCAAGAAATAAACCGTTCTAAGAAGAATGAGATAAGCCTTTTTCTTTTTATTTTCTCTAGATTCAATTTGAAAAAGAACCTACCCTTTTATTGATTGAATCCGAGTTTAAAATAATCTGATCATACAGTTTTGTTTTATAAAATTAATTTGGCAATGCTTCTTAAAATATATGAGTTGGCTCTCCCTAAACTCTATTGTTTTGCATGTAACAATGAATTATACAGAGCATACTGTAGTGCCTCGAACTGTTTTTTAAAAAAATCATACAACGTGTGTTATGCAGGGCCACGAGGACGTCGAGGAGTATAAACGATCATATTCTAGTTAATTAACTAAGTAAATTGGATTAGGGTCCGTTTAGCAGAATTTTTGCTTTTCCCCCCTTTAGTTGAAGGATTTCTTGAAAAAGTGTAACTTTAAGATAGTTTTATCTAAAAGCTTTTTTAATCAAATAAAGAGTTTTCAAAAGATTTTTCAAAAAGATTTATGAGTAACTTCTTAATCTGACGTAACTTTTAACATTTCAAAAATCTTGCTATATTGGATCCTTAAATTATGTGGTGGTAAGACTTTAGAGTTGCACTTCCTAAATTTTTTATTAACCAAAAATAATAATAATAATAAAAGGAAAAAAGTACAAGAAGAATACTTGTTTGTCATAATTTAGTGTCTCAACTATTTAAATTATGATTTCTTTACTTGTTTTCTTCATTAAATATTAGAAAGAACAATTTGGCCTGCCGTGAATTAAGGACTTTATTAACATCTC